TTAATTACCGCGGGTTAATTAGTCCGGCTTAGTGAGGACGGGTTAATTATTGTGGGTTAATGAGTCCGGCTTAGTGAGGACGGGTTAATTACCGCGGGTTAATGAGTCTGGCTTAGTGAGGACGGGTTAATTACTGCGGGTTAATGAGTCCGGCTTGGCAAGCACGGGTTAATTACCGCGGGTTAATTAGTCCGGCTTAGCGAGAACGGGTTAATTACCGCGGGTTAATTAGTCCGGCTTAGTGAGGATGGGTTAATTACCGCGGGTTAATGAGTCCGGCTTAGTGAGGACGGGTTAATTATTGTGGGTTAATGAGTCCGGCTTAGTGAGGACGGGTTAATTATTGTGGGTTAATGAGTCCGGCTTGGCGAGAACGGGTTAATTACCGCGGGTTAATTAGTCTGGCTTAGTAAGGATGGGTTAATTACCACGGGTTAATGAGTCCGGCTTAGTGAGGACGGGTTAATTACTGTGGGTTAATGAGTCTGGCTTAGTAAGGACGGGTTAATTACCGCGGGTTAATTAGTCCGGCTTAGTAAGGACGGGTTAATTACTGCGGGTTAATTATTGCGGCTTAGTGAGGACGGGTTAATTACTGCGGGTTAATTAGTCCGGCTTAGTAAGGACGGGTTAATTACCGCGGGTTAATTATTGCGGCTTAGTAAGGACGGGTTAATTATTCTGGTTTAGTAAGGACGGGTTAATTACCGCAGGTTAATTAGTCCGGCTTAGTGAGGACGGGTTAATTACCGCGGGTTAATTAGTCCTGCTTAGTAAGGACGGGTTAATTACCGCGGGTTAATTATTGCGGCTTAGTGAGGACGGGTTAATTACCGCGGGTTAATTAGTCCGGCTTAGCAAGGACAGGTTAATTACTGCGGGTTAATGAGTCCGGCTTAGTGAGGATGGGTTAATTACTGCGGGTTAATTAGTCCGGCTTAGTAAGGACGGGTTAATTACCGCGGGTTAATTAGTCCAGCTTAGTGAGGACGGGTTAATTACCGCGGGTTAATTAGTCCGACTTAGTAAGGACGGGTTAATTACCGCGGATTAATTAGTCTGGTTTAGTAAGGACGGGTTAATTACTGCGGGTTAATCACTCCGGCTTAGTAAGGACGGGTTAATTACTGCGGGTTAATTATTGCGGCTTAGTAAGGACGGGTTAATTATTCTGGTTTAGTAAGGACAGGTTAATCCTGGTATAGCAAAGACGGGTTAATCATCCCGGCACAGGAAGGATGGGAATCCTGCCAAGCCCAGGAGGCACATCCCGGGGACACATCCCAGGGACACGGGGACACATCCCGGGGACACATCCCGGGGACACATCCCAGGGACACATCCCGGGGACACATCCCGGGGGCACATCCCAGGAGCACGCCAGGCCCGGGACCGGATCCCAGTTTCCCTGGACAAGAGTCCAGCCTCAGTTTCCCTGGACAAGAGTCCAGCCTCAGTTTCCCTGGACAAGAGTCCAGCCTCAGTTTCCCCAGAGCATATTCCAGCCTCAGGTTCCCTGGACAGGATTTGAGCCTCAATTTCCCCAGACAAGATTCCAGCCCCAGTTTCCCTGGATCAGATTCCAGCCTCAGTTTCCCTGGACACAATCACTGCCCAGTTTCCCTGGATCAGATCCCAGCCTCACTTTCCCCGGACACAATCCCTGCCCAGTTTCCCTGGATCAGATCCCAGCCCCCCTTTCCCTGCACACAATCCCTGCCCAGTTTCCCTGGATCAGATCCCAGCCTCAGTTTCCCTGGATCAGATCCCAGCCTCAGTTTCCCTGGATCAGATCCCAGCCTCAGTTTCCCTGGATCAGATTCCAGCCCCCCTTTCCCCGGACACAATCCCTGCCCAGTTTCCCAATCCCCCCCCCTCACCTGCAGCTCCACTTTGGGCAGATTCCAGGGCTGGATTTGGGAATTTGAGGACCCCTGGGGGACTCCTGGGGCAGGGGGGAGGGTGTGACCATCCAGGGGGTCCCAGTCCCCCATCCGGGGGGTCCCAGTGCCCCTTTTATCCCATCCAGGGGGGGCCCAGTGGCCCTTATGTCCCACCCGGGGGGTCCCAGTGCCCCCAGTTGCCCCCCAGCCCTGACCCCCCCGTTTCCCCCCTGCAGCTCCCGCCAGCTCTGGGGTCACACCCGCAGCTTTTGGGGTCCCTCAGTGCCCCCCCCGTGCCCACCAACCCCCTCCCCAGCGTCCGGGGCGTCCCGGGGCAGCTCCCGACCCCCGCCCAGGGCCAGGGACCGCGGGGGGGTCACCTGTCCCCGCCCCCAGGGACCGCGGGGGGGTCACCTGTCCCCGCCCCCAGGGACCGCGGGGGGGTCACCTGTCCCCGCCCCCAGGGACCGCGGGGGGGTCACCTGTCTCCTCCCGCCCGGTGTTGTGTCACCTGCGGGGGTCCCACCTCTGTGTGCCCCCCCCCAGTTGATGGGGTGGGGGGTCCGTGTTGCTCCCGGTGACCCCCCCCGCCCCGGGCCGGGTGTTTTCGGCCCCCCCCATCTCCGTGTCCCCCCCCGGGTGTTTTCGAGCCCCCCATCTCTGTGTCCCCCCCATCTCTGTGTCCCCCCCATCTCCGTGTCCCCCCCCGGGTGTTTCCGGCCCCCCCACCTCCGTGTCCCCCCCAGGTGATCGGGACTCTGCCGTGGGTCGTGGCCCCCCCCGGGGTGGCCGCGGCCCCCCCCGCGCCGCCCCCCCCGAGCCTGCAGGTGACTCCGGTGACGCCGCAGCTGCTGCTGAACGCGCAGGGCCAGGTGATCGCCACGCTCGCCACCGGAGTGGCCACCGCGGCCACCGCGGCCACCGTCAGCGCCGCCCCCGCCGCGCCCACCCCCGGCAAGAAGAGCGGCCCCCCCGAGACCCCCGTCAAGAGCGAGGTGAGCCCCGAGATCCCCTGAAGAGACCCCCAAAACCGCCCCAAGAACCCCGAGAGCCCCATCAAGACGAGGGACCCCGGGAGATCCCGCCGGATACCCCCCCGAGACCCCCGTCAAGAGCGAGGTGAGCCCTGAGACCCCCCGAGACCGTCCGAGACCCCCTGAGACCCCCGTCAAGAGTGATGTGAGCTCCGAGACCCCCCGAGACCCCCTGAGCCCCCCCATCCAGACCAAAGTGTGTCACGGCCATAGGACTTTGGGACCCTCGGGGTGGCTTTGGGATCCCCCCCGGGGAACCTTCGGGACCCTCCCTGTGGCTTCAGGAGCCCCCTGAGCACCTTTGGGACCCAGACAGGTGGATTTGGGGACCCCCAAACATCTTTGGGTCCTGACCAGGTGGTTTTGGGGGTCCCTGAGCACATTTGGGACCCAGATAGGTGGATTTGGGGGCCCCTTTGGGACCCAGACAGATTGTTTTGGGGGTCCCTGAGCACCTTTAGGCCCTGGCCAGGTGGTTTGAGGGCACAGGAGCCCCCCTGGGATGGGGCCCCGTGCCCAGGACACCTTTGGGACCCCCTTACATGGTTTTGGGACCCGCGGAGCACCCCCAGGTGCCCCCTCATGCCCCGTGGTCACCCCATGCCCCTCCCAGTGCCCCCAGTGGGACCCCAGTGCCCTTCCCAGTGCCCCTCCCAGTGCCCCCAGTGGGACCCCCAGTGCACCCAGTGCACCCAGTGCCCCCAGTGCCCCTCCCAGTGCCCCCAGTGTCTCCCCCGGCCCCAGTCCCGGCTCGGGGTGTCCCAGTTTGGGTCTGTCCCCCCCAGGTCCAGCCCATCCAACCCGCCCCCGCCGGGGGCACCCCCAGCCCGGGGGCCAAGGTGGCCCCGACCCCCACGGCCGGCCCCGAGACCCCCACGGTCAGCCAGCTGGTGGCCAGTGAGTGCCAAACTGGGAGCACTGGGAGCACTGGGACAGGGATAACAGGGACTGAGAACAGGGCTAATGGGGACTGGGATTACTGGGAGAGGGATAATGGGGACTGGGATCCACTGGGAGAGGGATAATGGGGACTGGGAGAGGGATAACGGGGACTGAGAACAGGGATAATGGGGACTGGGATTACTGGGAGTGGGATAATGGGGACTGAGATCCACTGGGAGAGGGATAATGGGGACTGGGATTACTGGGAGAGGGATAATGAGGAGTGGGATCCACTGGGAGAGGGATAACGGGGACTGGGACAGGGATAATGGGGAGTGGGGTGCACTGGGAGTGGGATAACGGGGACTGGGATCACTGGGAGAGGGATTTTGGGGACTGGAGTCCCTTGGGAATAATGGGTTCTGGGAACCACTGGGAAGTGGGATAACAGGGACTGGGGTCCCTGGCAGGGGGATATCAGGGGCTGGGATCTCGGGGGCAGAGGGATTTTGGGGTCCCTGGGCAGAGGGATTTTGGGGTCCCTGGCAGAGGGTCCCGGTCCCACCCCGTGTCCCCCCCAGAGCCCCCCGCGCCCCCCGGGGCGGAGGAGGACGGGATCAACCTGGAGGAAATCCGGGAATTCGCCAAGAACTTCAAACTGCGGCGGCTCTCGCTGGGCCTGACCCAGACACAGGTGGGGCAGGCGCTGACGGCCACCGAGGGGCCCGCCTACAGCCAGTCGGCCATCTGCAGGTAACTCACCTGGGCAGGTAACTCACCTGGGCAGGTAACACACACCTGGGACAGGTAACACACACCTACAGCCAGTCGGCCATCTGCAGGTAACTCACCTGGGCAGGTAACACACACCTACAGTCAGTCAGCCATCTGCAGGTAACTCACCTGGGCAGGTAACACACACCTGGGCAGGTAACACACACCTGGGACAGGTAACACACACCTACAGTCAGTCGGCCATCTGCAGGTAACTCACCTGGGCAGGTAACTCACCTGGGCAGGTAACACACCTGGGCAGGTAACACACACCTACAGCCAGTCAGCCATCTGCAGATAACTCACCTGGGCAGGTAACTCACCTGGGCAGGTAACTCACCTGGGCAGGTAACACACACCTGGGCAGGTAACACACACCTACAGTCAGTCAGCCATCTGCAGGTAACTCACCTGGGCAGGTAACTCACCTGGGCAGGTAACACACACCTGGGCAGGTAACACACACCTGGGACAGGTAACACACACCTACAGTCAGTCAGCCATCTGCAGGTAACTCACCTGGACAGGTAACACACACCTGGGCAGGTAACACACACCTGGGACAGGTAACTCACACCTGGGCAGGTAACACACACCTACAACCAGTCAGCCATCTGCAGGTAACTCACCTGGGCAGGTAACTCACCTGGGACAGGTAACACACACCTACAACCAGTCAGCCATCTGCAGGTAACTCACCTGGGCAGGTAACGCACACCTGGGACAGGTAACACACACCTGACACACACCTGGGCAGGTAACACACACCTGGGACAGGTAACTCACACCTGGGACAGGTAACTCACACCTGGGCAGGTAACACACACCTGGGCAGGTAACACACACCTACAGCCAGTCGGCCATCTGCAGGTAACTCACCTGGGCAGGTAACTCACCTGGGCAGGTAACACACACCTGGGACAGGTAACACACACCTGGGCAGGTAACACACACCTACAGCCAGTTGGCCATCTGCAGGTAACTGCACACCTGGGCAGGTAAGACACACCTACAGCCAGTTGGCCATCTGCAGGTAACTCACCTGGGCAGGTAACACACACCTGGGACAGGTAACGCACACCTGGACAGGTAACACACACCTGGGGCAGGGTCGGGGCCATGGCAGAGGCTGCACAGCCCCTCACGGTCCCCCCTTGTCCCTCATCCCCGAGCGGCCCTTTGCCCCCTTTGCCCCCCGGGGCCCCCCGGGTTTGAGGGGATGCAACTTCCACCCGTGACCCCCCTGTGACCCCCCTGTGACCCCCCTGTGACCCCTGAGTGTCCCCCTGAGTGTCCCTCTGAGTGTCCCCATTGTCCCCGTGTCCCCCCAGGTTCAAGAAGCCGCACATCCCCCCCGAGTGTTCCCCTCAGTGTCCCCGTTGTCCCCGTGTCCCCCCAGGTTCGAGAAGTTGGACATCACCCCTGAGTGTCCCCCTTGTCCCCTTGTCTCCAGGTTCGAGAAGCTGCACATCCCCCTGAGTGTCCCTGAGTGTCCCCCTGAGTGTCCCCGAGTGTCCCCCTGAGTGTCCTGAGTGTCCCTCTGAGTGTCCCTCTGAGTGTCCCCTGAGTGTCCCTTTGAGTGTCCCCTGAGTGTCCCCGTGAGTGTCCCCTGAGTGTCCCTGTGAGTGTCCCCCCTGAGTGTCCCCTGAGTGTCCCCTGAGTGTCCCCCCTGAGTGTCCCCCCTGAGTGTCCCCCCTGAGTGTCCCCTGAGTGTCCCTTTGAGTGTCCCCTGAGTGTCCCCTGAGTGTCTCCTGAGTGTCCCCTGAGTGTCCCCCCCGAGTGTCCCCCCTGAGTGTCCCCTGAGTGTCCCCCCCGAGTGTCCCCCCTGAGTGTCCCCCCTGAGTGTCCCCCCTGAGTGTCCCCTGAGTGTCCCCCCTGTCCCCAAGTTCGAGAAGTTGGACATCCCCCCTGAGTGTCCCCGTTGTCCCCCTGTCCCCAGGTTCGAGAAGTTGGACATCACGCCCAAGAGCGCGCAGAAGCTGAAGCCGGTGCTGGAGAAGTGGCTGCGGGAGGCGGAGCAGCGGCAGCGGGAGGGGCAGCAGCACCTCCTCGACTTCGTGGGGGGAGAGCCGGGCAAGAAGCGCAAACGCCGCACGTCCTTCACCCCCCAGGCCCTGGAGGCGCTCAACGCGCACTTCGAGCGCAACGCGCTGCCCACGGGGCCCGAGATCACGCGGATCGCGCAGGAGCTGCGCTACGACCGCGAGGTCGTGCGGGTCTGGTTCTGCAACCGCCGCCAGACCCTCAAGAACACCAGCAAGCTCAACGTCTTCCACGTGCCCTGAGCGGGGGCCACGGGAACCCCCCCGGGGGTACCCCCATCCCCCGGGGGTACCCTCATCCCCCGGTGTGACCCCCCCGGCTCCTGCCGGCAGCACTTTGGCCACGGGGTTTGTCCCTCTGTCACCCGTGTCCGTCCCCACCGTGTCCATCCCCACCCAGCATCTCCCACGTGTCCTGAACTGGGAGCACTGGGAACCCCTCCATGTCCCTCGTTAGCCCCAGCAGCACTTTGGGGGACAAACCGCTGGGTTTGTCCCTCTGTCACCCGTGTCCATCCCCACCGTGTCCATCCCCACCCAGCATCTCCCACGTGCCCTGAACTGGGAGCACTGGGAGCCCCCCCCCGTTCCCCATTAGCCCCGGCAGCACTTTGGGGGACAAACCACTGGGTTTGTCCCTCTGTCACCTGTGCCCACCTGTGCCCACTTGTGCCCACTTGTGCCCACCTGTGTCCAGTCCCACCTGTGCCCACTTGTGTCTGTCCCTGACCTGTGTCTGTCCCTGACCTGTGTCTGTCCCTCACCCGTGTCTGTCCCTCACCTGTGTCTGTCCCTCACCTGTTCCTGTCCCTCACCCGTGTCTGTCCCTCACCCGTGTCTGTCCCTCACCTGTGCCCATCCCCCTGTGCCTGTACCTGTTGCAGCCCTTTAACAACTTCCACGTGCCCTGGACCCCCCCCGTGTATCCCCCCCGTGTGTCCCCCCCTGTCCCTCCCCGTGTGTCCTCCCGTGTGTCCCCCCCATGTCTCCCCCGTGTGTCCTCCCGTGTGTCCCCCCCATGTCTCCCCCCCCGTGTGTCCCCCCTGTCCCCCCCCGTGTGTCCCCCCTGTCCCCCCCGTGTCCCCCCCTCCCGCCATCAGCACTTTGGCCGCTGCTCTCCCCTTTTGCCCCCCCCGTTCTGTCCCCGCGTGTCCCCCCCTTCCCTCGGGTCACGCGTCACCTGCGAGTGTTCGTGTCGCGCCTCCCCCACCTGTGCCAGGTGTGGTGACAAACCCTCCCCCCATCTCTCCTGCCCCCCAAGTGTCCCCTTCCCCCCCCAAAAAAAAAAATCAGTGCTTTCCATTTTCCCGGGTTTTGCCCCTTTCCCCGCCTTTCTGAGGCAGCCTCGCAGCTCCCCGGGGGGGGAGTGTGACCCCCGAGTCGTGTCCTCCCCACGCTGATTTTGGGGACCCCCCCAACCTCCTGAGGGGCTTCTGGGGGTGACCCCCCCACCTTGGGGACATCCCGTGGGTGGCATTTTGGGGACATCGCTGCACTCCCCGGGTTTTTGGGGGGGATGAACCCTCAGAGGGAGCAGCCGCCCCCCCCCGAGGGGTCTCCAGCCCGGGGAGCGACGGGGAGGGGGCGCTTTGGGGAGGACGGGGAGGACCCTGAGGGGGGGGGGGGGCCGGCAGATTAATGCACTTGATGTAGTGGTGTGAAATAAACAGTATTTTTCTTTTTTCTTTTCCTTTTCCCTTTTTTGCCGGGTTTTGGGGTGGGGGAGGAGCGGCGGAACTCCCCCGGTGCCGCCCCCACCCCCCGGGTCCAGGCGGGAGCGGGACTCGAACCCGCGACGCTCCGGGAGCCGCCCCTCGGCCCCGAGCTCCTCCCACCGCCCCGCCCTATGACCAATCACCGCGCGGCATGCCCGGCGCGGAGCTCTCTATTGGGTGCTCCACCCGCCCGTCACGAGGCGGGGAGGGCGCTTATTGGCTGAGCCGGCGGAGGGGCGGGGCCGGCCCGCCCGGCGAAGGGGGCGGGGCCGCCGCCTCCATCTTGGCGGAGCGGAGGGTTTGGGGGGTCCCGGCCCCGCTCGGGGGGTCCCGGCCGGGAGTGGGGGGGACACGCTTGGGGAGGGGGGGCCCGGCACGGAGAGGGCGATCCCAGCCCCCATTGGGGGGGTCCGGACTCATCCTGGGGGCTCCCGGCTCACATCGGGGGTCCCGGCTCGGATCGGGCGGTCACATTTCGGATTAGGGGGGTCCCAGCTCGTATTGGGGGTCCCAGCTGGGATTGGGGGTCCCAGCTCGTATTGGGGTTCCCAGCTGGGACTGGGGGTCCCAGCCGTATTTAGGGGGGATCCCAGCCCGAATCGTGGGTTCCCAACCAGCCTAGATCGGGGGTCCCATCCCAGACCGGGGGGTCCCAGCCGTGTTTGGGGGGTCCCCGCGAGGGGCAGTGCCTGGGGTGGGGGGGGAGGATTCTGGGGGAGTCCCCACTGTGGGGGAGTCCCTGCAGGGCGCAGCCCCTGGGGGGGGGGGGGGGGGTAGGGTGGTTTTGGGGGGGTCTCTGGGGGTGGGGGTAGGTTTTGGGGGGGTCTCTGGGGTGGGGGTAGGTTTTGGGGGGGTCTCTGGGGGTGCAGCCCCTCGGGGGGGCTGCGGGTTTTGGGGATCCCCTCGGGGTTTGCAGGGACCCCCTGTGGGGGGGCCCAAGGGGGGGATTAGGGGGTCCCCTCGGGGTGTTTGGGGGGTTTTGGGGTTCTACAGTAGCGGGGTTTGGGGGTCCCCAAATTCGGCCTCTCAGGAGGGGCTTTGGGGGGGCTTTGGGCCCCTCAGGGAAGGGGAGGGGGGGAGCTCAGCGGGGGGGTGACCCCGAGAACCCCCGTTTTTGGGGGGGACCCCAGAGCCCATGTTTGGGGTGACCCTGAGGGTCCCTGATTTTGGGGTGACTCCGAGGCCCCCGGTTTGGGGGTGCCCCCGAACCCCCCTGTTTTGGGAGTGACCCCGACAGCCCCCGGTTTTGGGGGTGTCCCCGACAGCCCCCGGTTTTGGGGGTGTCCCCGACAGCCCCCCTGCTTTGGGGGTGACCCCGACAGCCTCCCTGCTTTGGGGGTGACCCCAGCCCCCCCGTTTTTGGGGTACCCCCGAGCCCCCCTGCTTTGGTGTTGCCTCCAGGGAGCCCCCGGGTTTGAGTTGTCCCTGTTTTGGGGGTAACCCCGACCCCCCCCGCCCATTTTCGGGGTGCCCCTGAGGACCCTCCAGCTTTGGGGGTGCCCCCGAGCCCCCCTGGTTTGGTGGTGCCTCCAAGGAGCCCCCAGGTTTGGGGATAACCCCGCCCCCCGGCCATTTTTGGGGTGTCTCCCCGTTTCTGGGGTGTCTCCCCGTTTCTGGGGTGTCCCCCCGTTTTTGGGGTTTCCCCCCATTTCTGGGGTGTCCCCCCGTTTCTGGGGTGTCCCCCCCGTTTCTGGGGTGTCCCCCCGTTTCTGGGGTGCCCCTCGTATTTGGGGTGTCCCCCCGTTTTTGGGGTGTCCCCCCGTTTCTGGGGTGACCCCCGTTTCTGGGGTGACCCCCATTTCTGGGGTGCCCCCCGTTTCTGGGGTGCCCCCCGTTTTTGGGGTGTCCCCCCGTTTTTGGGGTGCCCCCCGTTTCTGGGGTGACCCCCGTTTCTGGGGTGTCCCCCCGTTTTTGGGGTGCCCCCCGTTTCTGGGGTGTCCCCCCGTTTCTGGGGTGTCCCCCCGTTTTTGGGGTGTCCCCCCGTTTTTGGGGTGCCCCCCGTTTTTGGGGTGTCCCCCCGTTTCTGGGGTGTCCCCCCGTTTTTGGGGTGTCCCCCCGTTTCTGGGGTGTCCCCCCGTTTCTGGGGTGCCCCCCGTTTTTGGGGTGTCCCCCCGTTTTTGGGGTGTCCCCCTCGTATTTGGGGTGCCCCCCGTTTCTGGGGTGTCCCCCCGTTTCTGGGGTGCCCCCCGTTTTTGGGGTGTCCCCCCGTTTTTGGGGTGTCCCCCCGTTTCTGGGGTGCCCCCCGTTTTTGGGGTGCCCCCCGTTTTTGGGGTGTCCCCCCGTTTCTGGGGGCCATGGCGTGGGCGCTGAAGCTGCCGCTGGCGGACGAGGTGATCGAGTCGGGGCTGGTGCAGGACTTCGACGCCAGCCTGTCGGGCATCGGGCAGGAGCTGGGGGCAGGAGCCTACAGCATGAGGTACCCGCACCCCAAAACACGGGGGGGACCCCAAAATATCCGCAGGGGGAGGGCGGGGGGGTGAGGAACCCAAAATGTGCTGGAAGGTGAGGGCGTTGGGGGGAGTTGGGCACCGGAGCAGGAGGGAGCTGGGACTCCACAATCCCTGGGGGGACCCCAAGGTGTCTGGGGGGACTCCAAAGTGTCCGGGGGCACTTCAGAGTGTCCGGGGGAACCCCAAAATATCCAGAGAGTGGCACGGGGGGAGCGTGAGGGGGTGGGGAGCCCCAAAATGTGCTGAAGGTGAGACATCGTGCTCCAGCTGGGCACCGGCACTGGCAGCAGGAGGAACCCCAGAGTGTCCAGGGGGACTCCAGGATGTCTGAGGAGACCCCAAAATCCTTGGGGGGACCCCAGAGTGTCCAGGGGGACTCCAGGATGTCTGAGGAGACCCCAAAATCCTTGGGGGGACCCCAGAGTGTCCAGGGGGACTCCAGGATGTTTGAGGAGACCCCAAAATCCTTGGGGGGACCCCAGAATATCGAGGGGGGGCACAGGGACAGTGTGAGGGGGGGAACCCCAAGTTGTGCCAGGGCTGGGCCTGAGGGGGTCGGGGGGTCACAGCGGGGGCGACTCGGGAGGGAAACGGGCACAGAGCCCGGGGGGGCTGGGGAGGAGCAGGGAGGGAGTTGGAGTTGGGAGGGAGTTGGGAGGGAGTTGGGAGGGAGTTGGGATGGAGTTGGGAGGGAGTTGTGTGTTCCGGCTTCCTCAAGTGTGTGTGTCTCAGGTGTGTGTGTCTCAGGTGTGTGTCTCAGGTGTGTGTCTCAGGTGTGTGTATCTCAGGTGTGTGTGTCTCAGGTGTGTGTGTCTCAGGTGTGTTTGTGTCTCAAGTGTGTGTCTCAGGTGTGTCCCCCCTCACCTGTCTCAGGTGTGTCTCAGATGTGTGTCTCAGGTGTCAGGTGTGTCTCAGGTGTGTCCCCCCTCACCTGTCTCAGGTGTGTGTCTCAGCTGTGTGTCTCAGCTGTGTATCTCAGGTGTGTGTGTCTCAGGTGTGTGTGTCTCAGGTGTGTGTATCTCAGGTGTGTGTGTCTCAGGTGTGTGTGTCTCAGGTGTGTGAGTCTCAGGTGTGTGTGTCTCAGGTGTGTGTGTCTCAACTGTGTATCTCAGGTGTGTGTGTCTCAGGTGTGTGTGTCTCAGGTGTGTTTGTGTCTCAAGTGTGTGTCTCAGGTGTGTCCCCTCTCACCTGTCTCAGGTGTGTCTCAGATGTGTGTCTCAGGTGTCAGGTGTGTCTCAGGTGTGTCCCCCCTCACCTGTCTCAGGTGTGTGTCCCCTCCCGCAGTGACGTCCTGGCCCTGCCCATCTTCAAGCAGGAGGAGTCCAGTTTACCTGCCGAGAGCACGGACAAGGTGCTGCCCTTCCAGTACGTTCTGTGCGCGGCCACCTCACCTGCCGTGAAGCTGCACGACGAGACCCTCACCTACCTGAACCAAGGTGAGCTCACCTGACCCTCACCTGACCCTCACCTACCTGAACCAAGGTGAGCTCACCTGGCCCTCACCTGACCCTCACCTACCTGAACCAAGGTGAGCTCACCTGACCCTCACCTACCTGAACCAAGGTGAGCTCACCTGGCCCTCACCTGACCCTCACCTACCTGAACCAAGGTGAGCTCACCTGACCCTCACCTGACCCTCACCTACCTGAACCAAGGTGAGCTCACCTGGCCTCACCTGACCCTCACCTACCTGAACCAAGGTGAGCTCACCTGAACCTCACCTACCTGAACCAAGGTGAGCTCACCTGGCCTCACCTACCTGAACCAAGGTGAGCTCACCTGACCCTCACCTACCTGAACCGAGGTGAGCTCACCTGACCCTCACCTGACCCTCACCTACCTGAACCAAGGTGAGCTCACCTGGCCCTCACCTGACCCTCACCTACCTGAACCAAGGTGAGCTCACCTGACCCTCACCCACCTGAACCAAGGTGAGCTCACACCTGACCCTCACCTACCTGAACCAAGGTGAGCTCACCTGACCCTCACCTGGCCCTCACCTACCTGAACCAAGGTGAGCTCACCTGACCCTCACCTACCTGAACCAAGGTGAGCTCACCTGACCCTCACCTGACCCTCACCTACCTGAACCAAGGTGAGCTCACCTGACCCTCACCTGGCCCTCACCTACCTGAACCAAGGTGAGCTCACCTGACCCTCACCTGGCCCTCACCTACCTGAACCAAGGTGAGCTCACCTGACCCTCACCTACCTGAACCAAGGTGAGCTCACACCTGACCCTCACCTACGTGAACCAAGGTGAGCTCACCTGACCCTCACCTGGCCCTCACCTACCTGAACCAAGGTGAACTCACCTGGCCGGGCGGGGCCGCTGCCCCACGGTTGCCACGGGAACGTTCGGCCCCGGCTGAGGGGGAATTCCCGATTGCCAGGGTGGGCCTGGGGAAAGCCAGGTGTGGGAGGGACCAGGTGTGTGCAGGTGTGTGAAGGACCAGGTGTGGGAGGGACCAGGGGTGTGAGAGCTCAGGTGTGTGGTTCCAGGTGTGTTTAAGGTGGTTCCAGGTGTGTTCAGGGTGGTTACAGGTGTGTGTAAGGTGGTCACAGGTGTGTTCTGGATGTCACAGGTGTGTGCAGGCTGGTTCCAGGTGTGTTCAGGGTGGTCACAGGTGTATTCTGGGTGTCACAGGTGCGTGTGAGGTGATTTCAGGTGTATTCTGGGTATCACAGGTGTGTGCCAGGTGGTCACAGGTGTATTCTGGGTGTCACAGGCGTGTGTGAGGTGATTACAGGTGTATTCTGGATGTCACAGGTGTATCCAAGGTGGTCACAGGTGCGTGCACGATGGTTACAGGTGTGTGTAAGGTGGTTACAGGTGTATTCTGGGTGCTCCCAGGTGTGTTCAGGTGGTCACAGGTAACCCTCAGGTGCCCCCTGTCCCCAGGTCAGTCCTACGAGATCCGGATGTTGGACAACAGGAAACTCGGGGAACTGCCGGAGATCAACGGGAAGCTGGTCAAGGTGAGCACAGGAACACCTGGCCAGGTGTGCCCAGACAGGTACAGCCACAACTGGCCAGGTGTGCCCAAGCAGGTACAGGTGCACCTGTCCAGGTGTACCCGGGCAGGTCCAGGTCCAGGTCCAGGTACATTTGTCCAGGTGTGCCTGGGCAGGTACAGGTATACCAAGGCAGGTACAGGTGTGCCGGGCAGGTACAGGTCCAGGTACACCTGTCCAGGTGTGTCCAGGCAGGTCCAGGTACATTTGTCCAGGTGTACCCGGGCAGGTCCAGGTCCAGGTCCAGGTCCAAGTACACCTGTCCAGGTGTGCCAGGCAGGTACAGGTGCCCTCCCCTCTCCCTGCAGAGCATTTTCCGGGTGGTTTTCCACGACCGGCGCCTCCAGTACACGGAGCACCAGCAGCTCGAGGGCTGGAGGTGGAACCGCCCCGGGGACAGGATCCTCGACATCGGTCAGCTCACCTGCCCCACCTGCCCCACCTGCCTCACCTGCCCAGGTGTTCCCAGCCTCACCTGTTCCCCATCCCAGACATCCCGATGTCCGTGGGCATCATCGACCCCCGCGCCAACCCCACCCAGCTCAACACCGTCGAGTTCCTGTGGGACCCCGCCAAGAGGACGTCGGTCTTCATACAGGTGAGCCCCTCGGACAGGTGAGCACAGGTGGGCACTGCCTGCCCCTCGGACAGGTGAGCACAGGTGGGCACTGCCTCTTAGCCAGGTAAGGGACAGGTGGGCACTGTCTCTCAGCCAGGTGAGCACAGATGGGCTCTGTCCCTCGGCCAGGTGAGCACAGGTGAACACTGCCCCTCAGTCAGGTGAGCACAGGTGGGCACTGCCTCTCAGCCAGGTGAGGGACAGATGGGCACTGCCCCCCAGCCAGGTGAGTGCAGGGAGGCACTGCCTCTCGGCCAGGTGAGCACAGGTGAACACTGCCCCTCAGTCAGGTGAGCACAGGTGGGCACTGCCTCTCAACCAGGTGAGGGACAGATGGGCACTGCCCCCCAGCCAGGTGAGCTCTACCCTGTATCCAGATGAGCACAGGTGGGCACTGCCCCCCAGCCAGGTGAGTGCAGGGAGGCACTGCCTCTCGGCCAGGTGAGCACAGGTGGGCACTGCCCTTCATCAAGGTGAGCACAGGTGGGCTCTACCCCATATCCAGGTGAGCATAGGTGGGCTCTACCCCTCAACCAGGTGAGCATAGGTGGGCACTGCCCCTCAGCCAGGTAAGCACAGCTGGGCTGTACCCCTCAGCCAGGTGAGCTCTACCCCATCCATATTCAGATGAGAGACAGGTGGGCACTACCAGTCAGCCAGGTGAGCAAAGATGGGCTCTGCCACTCAGCCAGGTGGGCACAGGTGGGCACAGGTGGGCACTGCCCCTTGGCCAGGTGAGGGACAGGTGGGCACTGCCACTCAGCCAGGTGAGCAAAGATGGGCTCTGCCCCTTAGCCAGGTGGGCACAGCTGAGCTCTGCCCCTCAGCCAGGTGAGCACAGGTGGGCTGTGCCCCACAGACAGGTGTTCTCTGTCCCCCTGACCCCGAGGCTGTTCCCAGCCCCTCCCCTGCATTCCCACCTGTGCCCAGGTGTTCCCCGTCCCAACCCTGTGCCAGGTGTTCCCAAACCCCTCCCCTGCATTCCCACCTGTGCCCAGGTGTTTCCCGCCTCACCTGTGCTCACCTGCCCAGGTGTTCCCAGCCCCTCCCCTGTGCCCAGATGTTCCCCCTTTCACCTGTGCTCACCTGCCCAGGTGTCCTCCCCTGTGCCCAGGTGTTCCCAGCCCTCCCCTGCATTCCCACCTGTGCCCAGGTGTCCCCCCTCACCTGGTCCCACCTGCGCAGGTGCACTGCATCAGCACGGAGTTCACGCTGCGCAAGCACGGGGGCGAGAAGGGGGTCCCGTTCCGGGTGCAGATCGACACCTTCCGGCAGGGCGACGGCGGCGACTACAGCGAACACCTGCACTCGGCCAGCTGCCAGATCAAGGTCTTCAAGGTACGGCCACGCCCACCCGGGGTCACCCGGGGTCACCCGGGGTCACCTGGGGTCACCCAGGATCTCCTGGGGTCACCTGAGGTCACCCGGAGTCACCTGGGATCACTTGGGGTCACCTGGGATCACTCGGGGTCACCTGGGGTCACCCAGGATCACCTGGGGTCACCCGGGGTCACCTTGAGTCAGCTAGGGTCACCTGGGGTCACCCAGGATCTCCTGGGGTCACCTGAGGTCACCCGGGGTCACCTGGGATCACTTGGGGTCACCCAGGGTCACCTGGGATCTCCCAGGATTTCCTGGGGTCACCTGGGATCTTCTCGGATCACCTGGGGTCACCTGGGATCTCCTGGGGTCACCTGGGGTCACTCAGGATCACCTGGGGTCAGCCGGGGTCACCGGGGGTCACCTGGGGTCACCCAGGATTTCCTGGGGTCACCTGGGGTCACCTGGGACCACCTAGGGTCACCTGGGGTCACCTGGCATCTCCTGGGGTCACCTGGGATCTCCTGGGCTCACCTGGGGTCACCTAGGATTTGCTGGGGTCATCTGGGACCACCTAGGGTCACCTGGGGTCACCTGACATCTCCTGGGGTCACCTGGGATCACCTGGGGTCATCTGGCGTCACCTGAGGTCACCCAGGATCACCCGGGATCACCTGGGGTCTCCTGGGGTCACTTGGGGTCACCCAGGATCACCTGGGGTCAGCCAGGGTCTCCTGGGGTCACCCGGGGTCACCTGGGATCTCCCAGGATCTCCTGGGGTCACCTGGGATCACCCGGGGTCATCTGGTCATCTGGGGTCACCTGGGGTCACCCAGGATCACATGGGATCACCTGGGGTCACCTGGGATCACCTGGGGTCATCTGGGGTCACCTGGGGTCAGCTGGGATCTCCTGGGTCACCTGAGATCTTCTGGGGTCACTCGGCATCATCGGGGGTCACCCAAAATCACCCGGGGTCACCCAGGATCATCTGGGGTCACCTGGGGTCACCCGGAATCGCCTGGGGTCACCCAGGATCTCCTGGGATCACTTGTTGAAGGTCTCCCAGGTGTGTTCCAGGTGCCCCCAGGTGTGTTCCAGGTGCCCCCAGGTGTGTTCCAGGCAGCCACACCCCTTGTCCCCCGGAGCCCTCAGAGGCCGTCGGGACGAGCTGCTCCCAAAAAATATTCCTAAAGCCCCGAGAAGGCCGGGACACCTGGGCACACACCTGGGCACACACCTGGGCATACATCTGTGTCCCCTGGGCACACACCTGGGCACACACCCGGGCACACACCTGTGTCCCCTGGGCACACACCTGGACACACACCTGAGCACACACCTGGGCACACACCTGTGTCCCCTGGACACACACCTGGGCGCACACCTGTGTCCTCTGCACACACCTGTGCTGTGTCCCCTGTGCACACACCTGTGCACACACCTGTGCACACCTGTGGCCACACCTGTGCCGTGTCCCTGTGCCAGCCCAAAGGTGCCGACCGGAAGCAGAAGACGGATCGGGAGAAGATGGAGAAGCGAACGGCCCACGAGAAGGAGAAATACCAACCGTCCTACGAGACCACCATCCTCACCGAGGTGAGCTCACCTGGCACACCTGGCACACCTGTGCTGCCAGGGTCAGTACCAACCGTCCTACGAGACCACCATCCTCACCGAGGTGAGCTCACCTGGCTCACCTGGCCCTCACCTGGGCTCACCTCTCCCCACCTGTCCCCTCAGTGCTCCCCCTGGCCGGATGTGCCTCACCTGTGCCTCACCTGTACCCACCTGTGCTCCCCTGTACTCAACTATGCTCACCTGTGCTCACCTGTGCCCACCTGTGCCTCACCTGTGCCCACCTGTGCTCTCCTGTCCCCTCAGTGCTCCCCTGTGCTCACCTGCGCTCACCTGTACTCAGCTATGCTCACCTATGCCTCACCTGTCCCCACCTGTCCCCACCTGTACTCACCTGTACTCACCTGTCCCTCACCTGTCCTCACCTGTCCCTCACCTGTCCTCACCTGTCCCTCACCTGTCCCTCACCTGTCCCACCTGTCCCTCACCTGTGCCTCACCTGTCCCACCTGTCCCTCACCTGTCCCCCCTGTCCCCCCTGTCCCAGTGCTCCCCCTGGCCGGACGTTCCGTACGTTCCCAGCGCTCCGTCCCCGGGATTCAACAACTCCCACGGCACCTTCCGCCTGGGGGACGGGTGAGGCACTGGGGATACTGGGGGGACTGGGAGGGACTGGGATGGACTGGGGGGGACTGGGATGGACTGGGGGGGACTGGGATGGACTGGGAGGGACTGGAAGGGACTGGGATGGACTGGGAACACTGGGATGGACTGGGAGTGCTGGGATGGACTGGGGGGGACTGGGATGGACTGGGAACACTGGGAGGGACTGGGAGTGCTGGGATGGACTGGGGGGACTGGGATGGAGTGGAAGGGACTTGGAACACTGGATGGACTGGGAATGCTCAGATGGGACTGGGAATGCTGGGATGGACTGGGAACACTGGGAGTGCTGGGATGGACTGGGAGTGCTGGAATAGACTGGGAACACTGGGATGGACTGGGATAGCCGGGTTGGGACTGGGAATGATGGGGTGGGACTGGGAGTGCTGGGATGGGACTTGGAACGCTGGAGTGGGGGACTGGGAACACTGGGATGGACTGGAAATGCTGAGATGGGGCACTGGGAACACTGGGATGGACTGGGAATGCTTAGATGTAGCACTGGGAGTGCTGGGATGGACTGGGAATGCTGGGGTGGGACTGGGAGTGCTCTTGGGGGGACCCCTGGATCACCCCAGTATCATCCCAGTGACCCCAGTATTCCACTGGGACTGCCCCCAGTATCCCAGTGACCCCAGTATCCCAGTGGGACTGCCCCCAATATCCCAGTGACCCCAGTATCATCCCAGTGACCCGGGGACATTCCAGTGCCCCCAGTATCCCAGGGACAGTGACCCAGTGCCCCCAGTCCTATCCCAGTGACCCCAGTCCCATCCCAGTGACCCCAGTCCTATCCCAGTGACCCCAGTCCTATCCCAGTGATCCCAGTCCCATCCCAGTGACCCCAGTCCTATCCCAGTGACCCCAGTATCCCAGGGACAGTGACCCCGTTGACCCCAGTATCCCAGTGAGACTGACCTCCTGTTATCCCACTGGGACTGACCCCAGTCTCCTCCCAGTCCCATCCCAGTCTTCTCTCAGTGCCCTCCCAATCCCATCCCAGTGCCCCCAGTGCCCCCAGTCCCATCCTAGTCCCATCCCAGTCTTCTCCCAGTCCCATCCCAGTGTCTCCAGTGCCCTCAGTGCCCTCCCAGTCCCATTGAAGTGCCCCCAGTCTCCCCAGTCCCATCCCAATCCCATCCCAGTCTCCTCCCAGTGCCCCCAGTGCCCTCCCAGTCCCCTCCCAGTGCCCCCAGTGCTGACGTGTCCCTGTGTCCCCAGGGGGTCCCCGAGCCACCAGGCCGAGCCACCCCCGCCCCTGAGTGACGTGAGTATGGACACCTGGGGGGACACCTGGGGACACCTGGGGGGACACCTGGGGACACCTGGGGGGAGGGGATACACCTGGGACACACCTGGGGGGACACCTGGGGACACACACCTGGGGGGGACACCTGGGGGGAGGGGATACACCTGGGGACACACCTGGAAATACCTGAGGATACCTGGGGGGGACACAACTGGGGGGGGACCTCTGGGGGGGACACCTGGGGACACACCTGGGGGGAGGGGATACACCTGGGGGGGGGATACACCTTGGACACCTGGGGACAGCTGGGGACACCTGGGGGGGACACACCTGGGGACACACCTGCGAGGAGGGGATACACCTGAGATCACCTGTGGACACCTGGTGGGGACACACCTGGAGACACCTGGGAATACCTGGGAGCACCTGGGAACACACCTGGGGACAGCTGGAGACACCTGGGAGCACCTGAGAGGCCACAGCCCTTCTGTGCCCCCCTGTCAGACCCCACTGCCCACCTGGCATTGCCCCCCCTGAGCTCACCTGAGCTCACCTGTGCGGGGGGATTCACACCTGGCATTGCCCACCCTGAGCTCACCTGTGCCCACCTGTGCTCCTGCCTTGGTGGAAACCCTCCAGGTCACCTGGTCAGTCTGCTGGGTCACCTGTGCCCCCAGACCCTGCTGCCAGGTCACCTGGCCAGGCTGCCAGGTCACCTGTGCCCACCTGTGCCTGCAGACCCTGCTGCCGGGTCACCTGAGCTCACCTGTGCCCCCAGACCCTGCTGCCAGATCACCTGTGCCCACCTGGACGCTGTAGGAGGCTCACCTGAGCTCACCTGTGTCCCAGACCCTGCTGCTGGGTCACCTGGGCACACTGCTGGGTCACCTGTGCCCACCTGTGTCCCAGATGCTGCTGCCGGGTCACCTGAGCTCACCTGTGCCCCTGTGCCCGCAGACCCTGCTGCCGGGTCACCTGAGCTCACCTGTGCCCCTGTGCCCGCAGACCCTGCTGCCCACCTGGACGCCGCAGGAGGCCCAGCAGTGGCTGCACCGGCAGCGCTTCGGCCCCTTCGCGCGGCTCTTCCGCAACTTCTCAGGTGAGTGCCCGCCCCACACCTGGCACCTGGGCAGGGCACGGCCCTCACCTGGCACAGGCACACCTGGGCAGGGCACAGCCCTCACCTGGCACAACCACACCTGGCAAGGGCACAGCCCTCACCTGACACCAGCACACCTGGCACGAGCACAGCCCTTACCTGGCACAGGCACACCTGGGCCAGGTGTGCCCCTCACCTGTGCCAGGTGTGCCCTTCACCTGTTCCAGGTGTTCCCCCTCACCTGTGCCAGATTTTGGGGTGGAAATGCTGATTTTTGGGGCTGAAAAACGCCAATTTTGGGGCTGAAAAATGTGGGGTTTGGGGCTGGAAAATGCAAATTTTGAGGCTGGAAAACACCAATTTTGGGTCTGAAAAATGCCAGTTTGGGGGCTGAAAAATGTGAGGTTTGGGGCTGAAAAACACAAAATTTGGGCCTGGAAAATGCAGATTTTTGGGGCTGAAAAATGCCATTTTTGGGGCGGGAAATTGTGCGTTTGGGAGCTGAAAAATGCTGATCTTGGGGTGGAAAATGCGGGTTTTCTGAGTCAGTTTGGTCTCATTTTGGGGTGATTTTGGGGGTGATTTTGGGGGTGATTTGGGATGATTTGGGGCTGATATTGGGGTTGATTTTGGGGTGATTTGGGGTTGATTTCGGGATGATTTTTGGGGTGATTTGGGGTTTATCTTGTGGTGATTTTGAGGCTGATTTTGGGGGGATTTTTGGAGTGATTTTGTGGTGATTTCGGGGTTGATTTGGGTGTGATTTTGGGGTTGATTTTGGGGTGATGGGGTTGATTTTGAGGGTGATTGTGGGGTGATTTTGGTTTTTTTCAGGTGATTTTGGGGCGATTTGGGAGTGATTTTGGGGGTGATTTTGTGGTGATTTCGGGGCTGATTTTGGGGTTGATTTTGGAATGATTTTTGGGTGCTTTTGAGGTGATTTTGGGCTGATTTTGGGCTGATTTTAGGGCGATTTTGGGGGTAATTCTGGTTTTTTTTCCAGGTGATTTTGGGTTGATTTGGGGCTGATTTTGGGGTGATTTGGGGTGATTTTGGGTGCTCTGGGCTGTGCAGGGGCCGACCTGCTGAAGCTGAGCAGGGACGACGTGATCCAGATCTGCGGCCCCGCCGACGGGATCCGGCTCTTCAACGCCCTCAAGGGCAGGTACGGGGAAATCCGGGAATTCGGGGTCGAATCCGGGAGCTTGGGGTCAAATCTGGGAATTCGGGGTCGAATCCGGGAGCTTGGGGTCAAATCTGGGAATTCGGGGTCGAATCCGGGAGTTTGGGGTCAAATCTGGGAATTCGGGGTCGAATCCGGGAGCTTGGGGTCAAATCTGGGAATTCGGGGTCGAATCCGGGAGCTTGGGGTCAAATCTGGGAATTCGGGGTCGAATCCGGGAGCTTGGGGTCAAATCTGGGAATTTGGGATCGAATCCGGGAATTTGGGGTCAAATTTGGGAATTTGGGATCGAATCCGGGAGTTTGGGGTCAAGTCTGGGAATTTGGGATCGAATCCGGGAGTTTGGGGTCAAGTCTGGGAATTTGGGATCGAATCCGGGAGTTTGGGGTCAAATTTGGGAATTTGGGATCGAATCTGGGAGTTTGGGGTCAAATCTGGGAATTCAGGATCAAATCTGTCCCCCCTCCCCTGTCCCCTCTCCCCTGTCCCCCCTCCCCTGTCCCTCACCTGCAGGCAGGTGCGGCCCCGGCTGACTCTCTACGTGTGCCAGGAGTCGGCTCAGGGGAGGGACCCCCGGCAGGGGAGGGACCCCCGGACAGAGCCCGAGGAGGGGGACGGAGCCGGAACCTTCTTCGGTGAGGGGGGACACCTGGACACACCTGGACACACCTGGGACACACCTGGGAATGAGACACACCTGGGACACACCTGGGACACACCTGGGAATGAGACACACCTGGGAATGAGACACACCTGGGACACACCTGGGGTACACCTGGAACACACCTGGGACACACCTGGGACACACCTGGGAATGAGACACACCTGGGAATGAGACACACCTGGGACACACCTGGAGACACACCTGGGGACACATCTGGGATACACCTGGGGTACACCTGGAACACACCTGGGACACACCTGGGACACACCTGGGCCATACCTAGGACACACTTGAGACACACCTGGGGGACATCTGAGACAAACCTGGGATACACCTGGGAACACACCTGGGAATGAGACACACCTGGGATATACTTGGAGCACACCTGGGAACACACCTGGGACACACCTGGGACACACCTGGGAATGGGGGAGCACACCTGGGATACACCTCGGAATGGAGGAACACACCTGGGAAAGGGGGAGCACACCTGAGAGCACACCTGGGAACACACCTGGGAATGGGGGAGCACACCTGGGAGCACACCTGGCTCAGGTGTCCCTGTCTCACCTGTCTGTCCCCAGTGTACCACACCACCTGTACCTGTCCCCAGTGTACCACCTGGCTCAGGTGTTCCTGTCTCACCTGTCTCAGGTGTATGTCCTTGTCTCACCTGCAGTGTACCACATGGTGTACCTGGAGGAGCTCAGGTGGCACACCTGTCTCAGGTGTCCCTGTCTCAGGTGTTCTCACCTATCTCCTCTCAGTGTACCACACCGTGTGCCTGGAGGAGCTGAGGTGTTCCTGTCTCACCTGTCTCAGGTGTATGTTCCTCTCTCCCCTCAGTGTACCACACTGTGTACCTGGAGGAGCTCAGGTGTTCCTGTCTCACCTGTCTCAGGTGTACGTACCTGTCTCAGGTGTTCTCACCTGTCTCACCTGTCCGCAGTGTACCACGCGCTGTACCTGGAGGAGCTCAGGTGTATGTACCTGTCTCAGGTGTCCGTACCTGTCCCAGGTGTTCTCACCTGTCTCACCTGTCCGCAGTGTACCACGCGCTGTACCTGGAGGAGCTGACGGCGGCCGAGCTCTCGGAGAAGTTGGCTCACTTGTTCCGCGTCTCCGCCCACCAGATCCAGCAGATCCACAAACAGGGACCCACCGGGATCCACGTCCTGGTCAGCGACGAGGTAACACCTGGGACACACCTGGGGATACCTGGGACACACCTGGGATACACCTGGGACACACCTGGGAGACACCTGGGCATACCTGGGACACACCTGGGACACCTGGGACACAGCTGGGCATACCTGGGACACACCTGGGATACACCTGGGATACACCTGGGACACACCTGGGCACACCTGGGATACACCTGGGACACACCTGGGACACACCTGGGACACACCTGGGACACACCTGGGAGACACCTGGGACACACCTGGGAGACACCTGGGACACATCTGGGGATACCTGGGCATACCTGGGACACACCTGGGACACACCTGGGCATACCTGGGACACACCTGGAATACACCTGGGACACACCTGGGCATACCTGGGACATACCTGGGATACACCTGGGACACACCTGGGCATACCTGGACACCCCTGGGATAACACCCTGGGTAAGCACCTGGGCACACCTGGGATAATCACCTGGAACCACCTGGGACACACCTGGGAGAACCCGGGGGATACCTGGGCATCCCTGGGACACACCTGGGACACACCTGGGCATACCTGGGACACACCTGGGATACACCTGGGCATACCTGGGACACACCTGGGACACACCTGGGACACACCTGGGATACACCTGGGCGTACCTGGGACACACCTGGGACACACCTGGGCATACCTGGGACACACCTGGGATACACCTGGGACACACCTGGGCATACCTGGGACATACCTGGGATACACCTGGGACACACCTGGGCATACCTGGGACACACCTGGGAACACCTGGGATACACCTGGGACACAGCTGGGATATGCCTGGGACATGCCTGGGACACACCTGGGACACCTGGGGACAGCTGGGACACACCCAGGACACACCTGGTACACACCTGGGGATACGTGGGGCACACCTGGGGCATACCTGGGACACACCTGGGGACAGCTGGAACATGCCTAGGGACACCTGGGACACACCTGGGGACAGCTGGGACATACCTGGAACACCCCTGGGGACACCTGGGACACACCTGGGGATACCTGGGGACACACCTGAGACAGCTGGGACACACCTGGGCACACCTGGGACACCTGGGACACACCTGAAATACACCCGGGATACACCTGGGGACAGGTGGGACACACCTGGGCACACTTGGGATACACCTGGGATATGCTTGGGACACACCTGGGACACACCTGGGGATACCTGGGACACACCTGGGCACACTTCAGGACAGCTGGGACACCTGGGATGCACCTGGGGATACCTGGGGACAGCTGGGACACACCTGGGCCATACCAGGACACACTTGAGACACACCTGGGGGACATCTGAGACAAACCTGGGACACACCTGGGAACACACCTGGGGCACACCTGAGACACGCCTGAGCTCTCACCTGGGCCCCTCCCACCCTTTGATCCCAACCCCCCCAATCCCTTTTCCTTCTTTTCCAGATGCTCCAGAACCTTCCGGACGAGTCCTGCTTCCTGCTGGACACCCTCAAAGGTGGGCACACCTGGGGCTGGGGGGGCACACCTGGCCACGCCCCCTCACCTGCCCCGGCCTCACCTGTGCCTTCCTCTGCAGCCGAGAGCAGCGACAGCTACCACGTCATCCTGAAATAGGGCAGGTGAGGGTACCTGGGACACC